CAATACTCTTCTCCAGCACCACAGCTCAAAGGCATCAATTCTCCTTCTATCCTCCTTGGTCATTGTCCAACTCTCTGATGCATAACAAGTGATTGCAAAGCTTCACTATTACAGTTTTGAAAATTATTTTTATTATAAAAGATAGCTGATAGAGATGTTCAAATGAAAGTGATTTTTTAAAACGTACTTTATTTCTTTATTACAGGAGAGTTGCTTTTATTTACTTTTTTTAAGATTTTCTGCTAGTTTATTTACAAAATTCGAATACATTGTTTTTAAGAAAAAATTCTTTCTGTTTCCTTCACCCTGCCCCCATCAAACTGTATAACCCCATGATTAGTCCCCCCTTCCCCCTGCACATCCACATCCCTCTGCTTCCAGCCTCTCTCACCCGTCCTGGATCCTTATACTCATTCTACAATAATGGTTTTATACAGTATTTGTCCTTCTGGGACTGAGTTAGTTCACGCAGCATAATGCTCTCCAGTCCCTTCTCACACTGATGGGCAAGATGTCGAGATATTAGATATTTCAGTGTTTTCTTGAAACCCAAAGGACCATGTTAATTTTTTATTGTTTTTTAATTACATATTTATGGCTTTCCTATGACCTGTGTTCTCAGTTTGTAGGTCTATCCATCGACATAAAAGTTGAAAATAGAGAACCTTAAAAACCATTTTATGTTATACACTTTTATTTTGTTAATATGAGTCTTATTAGAATATAAATAATTTTTTAAAAATATTCTAGTGGGACTTAGTGTTAATTTGTTTCTCTTTCAGTATTTTTCTCCTAAAACTATGATACAGTTCTGTGATTGAATTTTGTTGTGTTTGATTATGTTTCATAAGGAATTTTGTTACTGAGAATACCTCATCCTCTGCAGTTTTTAATGCCCAGCCTTGAATGAATTATGGGCGTTTGTAATAGTATATACATTGTCGGTTCTCATTGTATGTGTCTGTTCTTTTCCATTAGTGCTTGAGTTTGATTTTATTACTGATTTGAATTCTTAATTCACCTCACAGTGGAATTCCATGTCTGCTAATTTTTGTATTTAGAGAATTTGTTTGGAAGAAAAGAAAGTAAAATTGTGGAGCAGTAGCAGGGAACACTTGAGAACAAATACACGGACCATGATTCTTTCACTAAAGAGACGATTAGCTTGGGACAAAGCAGTGCACACAGCCGCATCATTGAATATGCAATTTATATGTATATTTTTTTAAATGAGAATATCTCTCTGCTCAGACTTCCCACGATGTAGTTGGCTTGGCTGTGCACGATGTAGTTGGCTTGGCTGTGGTGTGTGTTCATATTTTTCCCAAATGAAGCATAACGGGGCGCTTACCGTCAGTTGCATCTTTGAGTAAATGACATTTCGTGCTGCTTGGTTTACTATTTGCGAGCTCCGTGTACCCTCTTTTCTTGTGGGTTCTGTGTTTGCAGGAATGTAAAGAGCTTCACGGTACATTTGTGGGATCGGCTTGTGGTCACCACGGGCCCTACGTTCCAGATGTGCTCTTCTGGTGTGTCATCTTATTTTTCACGACGTTTTTCCTGTCTTCATTCCTCAAGCAATTTAAGACCAAGCGTTATTTCCCTACTAAGGTAATTGGGATGCCTTTTTTTTTTTAAAGTTCTACTTAATATTCATATTTTCATGAAAGGGATGTTTTTTTCTTCCTTTAAATATTAATATATTCCTTAAGGTTAATATTTATTTTTGTTCTCTACTGCTGTTATAGCAGAGATACAAATGGATGGCTGTAACAAGCTAGTTTATTTTCTCACAGTTTGTTGTTAATAGGTGTTGTCAAGTCAAATACGACTCGTAATGACCCTTTGAACAGCGGATGTGAAGCCCGTCCTATCCTGCGTCAGCCTCATCGGTTCTGAACCCCTGAGTCCATTGCTTCATTTGCTGTGTCAATCCATCTCATTGAGGGTGTTCCTCTCTTTTGCTGACCCTCTTCCTTTTCACGCATAATGTCCCTTTCAAAGGAATAACCTCTTCTAGCACCGTATCCTAAGTATGCAAGAAGAACCTTTGTAATCTTTTTGTTGTTGTTGCTGTTGTTTTTGTTGTTGTTAGGTGCCGTTGAGTCAAAGATGACTCATTGTGACCCTATGAACAAAAGACCTGAACACTTGTATAACTTTCATCATTTCTCCACATTCATAGAGTTTTCAGAGACAAGCTATTTTAGAAATGGATACCACTCCTACTTCCAAGCTTGTTTTAATCAGGGAGCTCCACCAAACACCATGTTCCACCATGTGAAACCATTATCACATTTGACACATCAGTGTCACAGTGTTCAGCATCACAGCAACCACGAGTTACCTCTGTACAGCAATACACAGACCAGTGCTATACCACGTAGAAGAATGTTTGAACAAAACCAGTGAAAACCAGGCCTGAGATTAAAATCACCCACTTTGGCATGGTAGTATCACTTTCTGTCCACTAGGCCAACTGAGCTCTCTCTCTCAGGCTGCCCTTTTCTTCACACCTCTACTTTGGACAGTCTGTGTCTTTGTATAACATAGTTTTCCACATCTTTACGCTTTCATTTGACACATTGCATTTTTAAATCCTCCTTGTTTCTGCTCAGATTTTACTGTTATGTGGCAAGGAGGAATCACGCGACCCTGGAAGATGTATAGGAATATCGTTTGGCAGGTGTCCAAGTTCACCACTTACTTGCAAGTTATTCCTTCCACCAAACATTTGAACGTAATCCATAGGAATTCGTTGCCTCTACATCCCCCTTCCTGCATTATTCAATCACATATTTGTCGTTATCTTTTCAAGCTCACCAGAAACGCATGTAATACCCACAGCGTTCAGTTTCTAATAGCAGTACTGTTCCCAGTGCCGAATGTAGTCTCCAAGACGACAGAGATACTCTCTGTGGGTAGCCTCATTTCGTTATGAGCCCTCACTAGAATTGCCTTTGACGTGCATAATTTTACCAACAGTCTCTTCTGTGCAGTCTTCACTTATTACCCACTGTGTCTCTTTCTCATTATCATTGAGTCAGAATGAACTCAAAGCTGACCTTCCAGGGGTTTTGGCAGGGGAGGAGACAGCTCCTCTTTCTCCCACGGAACTGCTAGTGGATTCGAACTGCCAGAGCTGGGCCATCTTTGAGATTAACAGCACAACTCCTTAAAGATTATGCTGTCAGAACCCCCCTTCCAGCCTCTGCTGCTGATCACCCAGTAACAAAACTGCTTCCCTGTTGTAGGTGTTTGTTAGAGGAGCATCTCTGCTTCTTGGTACCAGGTTTTGCCTTAGTTATCTCTTGCTGCAATACCTAAAATACATCAAATGAGTAGCTTCAATAAGCAGAAAATTATTTTCTCACCGTTTAGCAAGAGTAGATGTCCAGTCTCAGGATGTAAGTTCCAGCATTTCTGTATTGACTCTGGAGGAAAGGACCACCTTTGTGTTTTCTAAACTTACGCTCTTGGGTGAACCTTTGTATCATTTGACATCTGTCTTCATCCATGGTCCTCTCTTGTTAACTTGATAATCTTGAAAACGTGATAATCTCTTGAAAGAGATTGACTTAAAATATACCTTGCATTAATCTTGTCTCTCTAACGTCACAGAGACGGTTCCCAAATGAAATTACCACCAGGAGCATAGAAATTAGGATTTACAACTCCTGTTTTGGGGGAGATACAATTATATTGATAACAATGCTTATGGCCAACTATTTATAAGGAATTATTAATATTGAAAGATTTATGATATATGTCTGAGCTCTCAGGAGGAAAAGCATGGTGCTGTGAGATACGGTCAGTTAAGCTGTGAAATGGGTTCCCTTAAGGGGAAAAAATAGATATAAAACCCCATTAATAATGTATAGTGGCTTATTTGTGAAATTGAAAAGATGTATTTTTTTAAAATATCTAGTATTTCTGTGTTTATGTTAAACACAGGGAAAAAATCAGACATAAAAGCCCATTAAAACTTTATAGTGAGAAATGTTATGAAATGGCCTCTCACCTGCGGCGTGCCCAGTACTGATCTCGTCTGCCCCTTACCCCACCAGTCCCCACTGCTTTTGCACCCCTATCCTTCCCATACACATACACCATTTTTATTTTTTGGGGCCATTACCCCACATCCTTTATTGCTGCCAAAACCATATGGGCAGGGGGCAGGACTGGATGGACAGATACCGCCCCCTACCCATACCCCTCCTGTGTGTGGTTCGAAACTTTTTGTTTTTGGGTTTTTTTTTTCTGAATGAAAAAAGATTCTACTAAAAATAAAAAAACAAAACTTTATAGTGGCATAATTACATTTGTGAAACTTGAAGATATCTAGTATTTCTGTTTATATTAACGTGGTTTATCTTTTTTTTTTTTTCATTTTAATTGTGATGTGTGTGTGTGTGTGTGTGTGTGTGTGTGTGTGTGTGTGTACCGTCAAATCAGATCTGACTGGTACAGGAGGAGATTGTCCCTCCTTCCCCGGCAGAGCATCTGGTGGATTCGAACCGTGCACCTCTGGGATTGTAGCTGCAGTTCCTTGCCACTACGCCACCAGAGCTCCCCTTTAATTGTGATTTTTAACAGAAGTTTATAAGAAAGTTGAAAACGTTGCACGTTTTTGTCCCTCTCCTTCACCCCAGCTCACCTTCTTTTTAACATAATCTCTTTACCATCGTCTCTTTAACGTAGGTGCGAGCGACAATCAGTGACTTTGCTGTATTTCTCACAATAGTGATAATGGTTGCCATTGACTACCTGGTAGGAGTTCCATCTCCTAAACTTCACGTTCCTGAAAAATTTGAGGTAAGGGTTAAAACATCGGGCTGTTCGGTGCTTGGGATACCAAGCTCTTCAGAGGCTCTCCTAAGTTTTTCTTTTTTAAAAAAATATGTAGACTGAACAAAGAGCTCTGGTGGCCTCGTGGCAAGAAGCTACACTGTAATCCCAGAGGTGTGTGGTTCAAATCCACCTAGATGCTCTGCTGGAGAAGGAGGGACAATCTCCTCTTGTACCAGTCAGATCCGATTTGGTGGTACACACACACACACACACACACACACAGAGAGAGAGAGAAAAGAATGTAGACTGAACAAAAAAAATGCATACAGTGGAATACTATGCATCACAAAAGAACAGCGAAGTATTGGTAAAATATGACACAGGATGGGACAGTCTCGAGGGCATCACGTTGAGTGAAAGACCTCCATCACAAAAAGATAGATACTATAGAAGACGGCAGCTGTGGAAATGGATAGATAACTGAGGTGGGGCAGGGTGGCGAGAACAGAAATAGGAAGTGTGGACATTGAACACCAAGGACCAGGACAAGGGCGGGATAGATAACCGGGGACTGGAGGACAATACGACTGTGGCGGTTAGCAACTAGGAGCAAGACCTGTGACTGCTCCAAAGGGGAAAGAAAGAGAAGAGATGCAGAAGAAGGAATAGAGATTGCAAGGACAGTAGAACCTAGTTGTCAGACTTGGGGGGGATTTGAGGGGAAAAGCAGGGTGCAAGGAGGACTTGATGAAACGGGATAAAACTATAGACCAATAGGAATTAATTACACAAAACACGGTGTATAGAAATGATTGTGTAAAAGAAAATGTCCACAAATAAAACAGTGTCTGTGAATGATTGTATAAAACACAAAGAAAGGAAAAAAGTTGTAGACTCTCTTGGAAGATTGAAAGGAAATGCTGTATAAATGCTTCTCACATTATATGTATATGGATGGGGGTGGGGAAGAGGACACGGAAACCCATTTAGGTGAAGAGTAAGAAAACGCAGAGCGAATCCATCAGGAAATGTGAATTAAAATAGACGTGATGAAGAGAAGGGCACCATTGCAATAACGTATCCAGTGCACAGTACTGATATTCTTGGGTTACAGTTCAGGGAAAATGAAACTTGTATTCCTTTGTAAAGAAGTCATTTCAGACTTGACATTGTAGCAAGGAACCCCCACCCACGGCTTTTAACCAAAACCAGGAGGGTATCAGTTATGTTCTTCCCAAGATAAATAATACTTACTCTAAACATCTGCTTGAGTTCTTTGCCTTAAATTAAAAATAAACAAAACTGTGGTTCTCTAGAATGCAATCGTGTATAATACAGCATCCAGTGACTACTCCTTCTTCTGAATGACATGGTACCTTTTGAATAGTTCTATATGTACCGTCCACCCCCTTAACCCTTTAACTTACCTCTCTGTTTTCTTTTCTTCCTTCTTTTATCATGTATGATGAAAGGAAAAACTCCTTTTTAACTTGTCACTGCTTGTCAACAAATTGTTTCAGTTTCTTGAAAATCAAAGGCGTTAAAAGGAATCAGAAATAAGGAATGTAATGAAGATAATGCTAGTCTGTAAAGCCTTTCAAAAAATACCATTAATTTTTAAAGCTGCCATCTCCAAAGTATATGGAATAGGTGAAATAGAATCCAATACATATATTTACTGTGTGAACTTTACCATGTCAATAACTACTTCTTGTTGTTGTGTACCGTTGAGCCAGAACTTATCCATAGCTGACCCTTCAGTGAGTGGGTTTTCAGAGGCAGTAGATGACACAGGAGGAGATTGTCCATCTTTCTCCCACGGAGCAACTGGATTAGAACCATGAACTTTTGAGTTGGCAGTAAAATTCCTTACCAGTAAGCTACTGGAACACTCTCAATAACCAGAAATAATATAAAAGGTGGATAATATGAGTCATTGGGTGTATGACCCGTCTTCAGGATCTCTAAAGCAGTTTAATTTTGGGAAGATTGGCTCTATTTCTGCATTAAACATGTAGGAGCATGTTAAAATGACACCCTACTTCACTATCTGTACTTGCACAAAAAAAAACGCAATATTTAATGCCTTTAAAGCAGTAATCCTTTATTTGCTCAGAAATCCATTCCAGCAGGGACTGCTCTTAGCTGGGTGGTAATGTGGTCTGTTGGAATGATGTGCTGTCCAAAGTAATTTGGTCGTTCCATGGGGACAGCATGACTTCATCCTCATGTCACAAACGGAAGCAGACGTTAACACAGAAGTTGCAGGTTCCTTGAGAATGAGTCTCGAAGCACATAGGCTACTGCCCCTCTCTTCTCTGTTAACACGTTCCCCAAGGAAGCTCATGCATAGAACAGCCTCCTGGTTCTAAGAAGATTAGAGCAGAAGCTGTGGAATTTCGTGCGATTGAGGTACAGAAATCACAGTGTCACTCCTGCCTCACCATGTAGGTTCATCCCAGATCCAAGGAGAAGGGAAATAGATGCCATGTCTGGAATGGATGCAGTGGCTGAGCTGCATTGCAAAGAGGGTCATGCTTGTATGGCAGGGAAATCTGCTGTGACGATCTTTGCAAATAATTTCTCGGCTGCAACCCAAGTTGTAATCTGATTCGTCACAATACTTAGTGATGGAAGGGTTTTGTGCAATCAAAGAACGAAACTTTTTCTTAAGCTCTTTGATTTTTTCCCAACAGCCTACTCACCCAGATAGAGGCTGGATCATAAGCCCACTGGGAGAAAATCCGTGGTGGACGTTATTAATAGCTGCTATTCCAGCTCTGTTGTGTACCATCCTCATCTTTATGGATCAGCAAATTACAGCCGTAATCATAAACAGAAAGGAACATAAACTGAAGGTAATTTCCTTTTATTTATAAATTAATTTTAATGAACGTTTACAGAGACTTTGGATTTCCATTCAATCATTGTTGCACTTTTCTCCCTGCCCACCCCTCCCCCCCAGTGTACTCTTCTGTTTGAAAAGTAAAAGGGAAATTCTTTAATTGTTATACAATCCCTCCCCCATTTCTTTTTTACTTCATGTTTTTTTAAGTATTGGTTTACTTACAACTTATATACATTGTTTTTCACACCACATCTTTCCCATTTCCTTTACTCACCCCCCTCCCTCTACCCATCAAACTGTGTGACCCTCTGATTACCCGCTGCCCATCCTCACCCCTCAGCACCCATTCTCCCCCCACCTTGTATCCTTATACACATTTAACTAGTTACCTTTCTAGTTCTACAATAATGCTCTGAGACAGTATTTGTCCTTATGAGATGAGTTAGTTCACTTAGCATCATGCTCTCCAATCCCTCCCAAGTTAGGCAGTGATTTACAAAATCATTGCTCCTGCGTGCTGCATAGTATTCCATTGTGTGAATGAACCACAATTTCTCAAGCCATTCGATTGTGCTTGGACATTTGGGCTGTTTCCACGTTCTTGTGATGGTGAGTAATGCTGCTATGAACATTGCTGTACAGATCTCCTTTTGTGCCTGAGTTCTAATTTTCTCGGGATGTATCCCAAGTAGTGGAATAGGTAGGTTATAGGGAATTTCAACATTCAGCTTTTCAAAGAAGGTAACTTCTTTTTAAAAACAGCCTCTGTCATTGTGACTTCTTGATGGATTTGAGGTGTTTTCTTGATGACTAGAGTGTTGACTTACGTGAGATGAGAAGCACTTGTTGTTGCCTCTGTTAATTCTGTAGAATTTGAACCTGGAGACTTTTAAGGTTGACCTGTAAACGCTCGTGTCCATTTCCCTTGCAGAAGGGAGCTGGCTACCACCTTGATTTGCTCATGGTTGGCGTCATGCTGGGAGTCTGCTCGGTCATGGGCCTCCCCTGGTTTGTGGCTGCAACCGTGTTATCCATAAGTCACGTCAACAGCTTGAAAGTTGAATCTGAATGTTCTGCTCCCGGAGAACAGCCCAAGTTTCTGGGAATCCGCGAACAACGAGTTACAGGCCTTGTGATTTTTGTTCTCATGGGCCTCTCCGTGTTCATGACATCAGTCCTAAAGGTAACGTCCCTTAATCAAACTGTTTTGTTTTAAAAAGAATTTATCATAAAGTCTGTATACTTTGTTGTATGAACCATTACAATCACCAAAATATCTAAAACTAGGTTTATTTTCCACGATTCACTTGGGGAATTTTTTTTTAGTAAAGTGATTATTTTGAAATTATTTTAAAACAACCTCAGAGAGTGGTATGAATGACTGTATATAGTTTTCAGGAGGAATCAATATTTATGGTCTTTAAGAAAATAAACCCAGAAGATTTTATAGGTATAGTAGAAAAAGTAATATTGAAAGGTGGGTGAGTCACATTTGAAAACAGAAAAACGATAACTGCTATTTAAATTAATATAGTCTCCTGATATACTAAGTGAATTAAAAAAAACAGTAAGCCTACATTAGGGAAACAGCAAGCACAACTAATGCTATCAATAAATGATATAAGAAATATACTCTGTTAAGAGTATTAATTAGGATTAGCTTTAGTCACATCTGAATTTTCAGTAAACTGTTCTAAAAAGTTTACTGATTTAGAAAAAGAACTATAACAAAGTAGCTTAGGTATTTAGAATGGAATTTATAAACATTGAGAATCTTTGACCTCCTTTTATGACTTTTTTTACAAATTATCTGTTGGGTACTAACTCTGTTGCTAAGCCCTGGTACAAGAAGACATAAATACATTATTATCTCCTCTGGAGGACTGGACTTTCTAGTAGAATTAAATGAACAGTGTCAACAGAGTGTAATTAAGTGCTGTGTTCAAAGTATCTGGAGACCAAACAAAAGGGACTCTTTTTGTGGCTATTTATTGGATGTGGCTTCTGTAGATGAAACCTGTCCTTTAAAGTTATTAAATAGTTTTAATTTAGCATTTAGTGCATATAGCAGAAAATTGTAAATAGAATATGAAGGAAGATCTAAAATGAAAAGTTGCCCTCACTTGTAGTCTAGTTCTCTGAGATAAGACTCTTTTTAATGACTTTCTTTACCCTGGTCGTTGGCTACTGTGTTAGCTTAAAATACAGGTTTGCTTTTCTGTTTTAACTAAAAAACAAACAAAACAGAAAACAAACCAAAAACAACCAAACAAACCGCTTATTCTTTTTAAAGCGGAGTTTTTTAACTAAGGCAGGGGTTCTCAGAGTGTACTCCATTCGTCCCTGAGGACCCTGGACAGTCCTGTCAGGAACGTGCCAGAACCTTTCCTGCCCAAACAGCATGCTGGCTGGGCCAGGCCCCCTGGCCTCCTGTGCTTCATCCAAAACAACAGATCAGGAGCGGAAGGGGATTTGAGAATCCAGTTCTTGGAGATTCCCCATTTGAAGAAACGTATCAAAATGTAAAAACAGTACTATTTTTCTCACAAATTTTCTTTATGTTTTACTTTTCCTAACAGAAGTGTTACGTATGTTAACTTGTGATACAGGTTATTTTTACTGAGTTGATAACCTGAAGAGGGTAATGTTCTTCTCTTGATTTTTATGGGTGTCTGTGTGTGTGTATGTATAACCAAATCTACTGTTGCTGAATCAATTCTGGTCCAAATCAATATGTATTTATAAGCGTGTAAATATATTTCTGAATATGTAAGTAGATATGCATGTGTATATGTTTGTAGAGAATTCTGGTGCACAGTTGCTAAGGGCTTAGTACTAAGGAAAAAGGTTAGCAGTTGGAAATCACTACTTGCTCTAGTAGAGTCTTCATCTGCAAAGAGACAGCTTCAGAAATCCTCTGAGACAAGTCAGCTCTGATCTGTAGCTCTGCTGGGAAGAAGAAAAAAATAAACTTATATATTTGTATGTAATATATTTGTTATATTTTTCTTATGTACTGTAAAGTCAGAGCTGGTCCTCCAGCAGGTTTTCAGAGGCTGTTAATCGCCCAGGAGGAGATTGTCCATCTTTCTTCCTAAGAGAAGCTGGTGGCCTTGAACTGCCTGCCTTTGGGATTGCAGTGCAGCTGTATATATTTCTGTACACACACACTTAAAAGTTTGTGAAGGGGCTTTCAGAACGTTTTGAGAATGTAAGGAGGCTGATCCTAAGCTAAACAGTTCAAGATCCTCTGACTTCATGGAGAGTTTATGATATTTAATTAACTTCCATTGTTCCCCCAAAAGTCTTAAGAGTCACCTATTGTTTTAGCTTTATTAGTTGTCAAGGTTACTAACATTTATGCCCTGCCTATAATTACAATTAGGCGTTTCAAACTTTTTTCTCAAATTAAATTGTTTAAAAAAAATACAAAGCCTATAAGAATATTTGGAAGCAGGAGCGGCATCCACTTCCGAAATGCCTTGCCTATGGAAACTCTATGAACAGTGCTCAGGTCTTCCGTTCTTAGGGTCGCTATGAGTCATCTACGACTCGACAGCACCTAACTAACAACAATACCACCATAGGAATATATCAGTACTATTCTGATAACGTAAATATTCTGTGGTGACTTAGCAGTATGATTTCTCCAAAAGGAGGCAGAAATGGACCTTATTTCTCTGTGCTCATACCACTTGAAGAATAGCAGTCCAGTCAAGGCTCAGGACCCAACAAGTTTCCTTTGTTTATGTCCCTTCTTAAAAATTGGGGTGTTCCAGTCACCAGGGGGTTAAGCTGCTACCCCAAAGGTGGCAATTCTCTAACAGTTCGAATCCTCCAGCGACTCCATGAGGAGAAGGTGGGTGGCCTCTTCCCGTGTGGTTTGCAGCCTCTGGAAACCCACAGGAGGGTCAGCTGGGAGTCGCTTCTGACTTCACAGCAATGACTTGTTTTCTTTTTCTTTTTTTTTCCTTTTAGCAAATTCTAATTCTGATCTTTTTGATTTACAGTTTATTCCCATGCCTGTTCTTTATGGTGTTTTCCTTTATATGGGCGTGTCTTCATTAAAAGGAATCCAGGCAAGTACTGTTTAATCATTTTAGTGAAATGTTTGACTATTTTAGATTTGCAAAGGCTGCTTTTATGATAGGAAAGATCTATTCAAGACCTTTGGATACATCAGGAGCAGGTCAGTTTTCTAACTGGTGATTTCAGATTCAAAATGGACAGGAGATGGCCATTTTTGGTAGCATGGAATTATGAACTGATAGTCATTTTCTGCTTTTAATTGAAGCCAATGAAAACCTGATAAGAGGGAAGAGGATCAGGGCCGAAAAAGTACTATTTCTATACTGTAGAACAGCAGTCTCAGTGCTTTGAAATAAAAAACAAAAACAAAAAAACACAAACAAAACCCCCCAAATAATAGTTTTTTCATTAGCATAGTATTATTGCCATTGCTACAATACGTAGAGTTTGTAAAGCCTAGCACATAAATTGGATTTTTATATCCTCAAAACAGCCTCAGGAAACAGCATGGCAGAAGTTATCTTCATTTTGTGAAGTAGGAGGTAGAGTTTTGGGAGCTTAGTGTTAAAAGAGACTGTGAAACCCAAGGGAGGCAGTTCAAATCCACCCCCAGCTCCATGGGAGGATGCAGTCTCCTCCTGTGCAGTTTATAGCCCCCCAGAACCCAGTAGAGGGTCAGCTCTGAGTCACTTCTGATTGAGTCGCACCAAACAATAACAACAGGAGATGGAGAAATAGACCTAGTGAAGCTGATTTGTTTAACTAAGCAATGAAGCCAGAGATAGAACCCAATGAGTTCGCTCCTGGGTGTGGTCTTATTTACAGTACTTCTGGAATACAACCACATATAGCCCAGTAAGATTAGCACTTCTCCAGTTTTAGTGTGAAGTGTTTAGATCATACAGCCTACTTACCATATTTTTATAAGGGAACACTTCCTGTTATGAAAAGCCTGTTGTCTGACGTGGTCAGCTAATGAGTGGCTGGTAAGACTTCTTAGCGGCAGTGCTACTGGTGAGGCAGAATTTCACTTGATTTTTACGTTTTTATGAGGTAAGTGGACCTGGTGTTACTCTCAGTTTAGAAATGTAGAATTGAAAACTAAAATTGTAATTAAAATTAAAACTAAACAAGCAAAAAGTACATATTTTAGTCATAGTTTTACTGTCAGTGAACAAAGAACTGTTATCCTTCTAGAATTTGGGATATTTGACTTAGAAAAAAAAAGTCGAGAAGTTGTTCAAAATTTTGTATTTTTTTTATTGTTGTTACGTGCTGTCGAGTCGTCTGTAACTCATAGCGACCCTATGTACAACAGCTCTAAACACTGCCCTATCCTGTGCCAATCGCATTGTCTCTGACACACCCACCCTTATTACCCCAGTCACTGAATCAATCCCTATCATTGAGGGTCTTCCCCTCCTGCATTGTCCCTCCACCCTCCCAAGCATGATGTCCCTCTCCAAGGACTGGTCCCTCCTTGCAACATGTCCAAAGTATGTTTGAGTCTGATATAGAGTAATCTGATTATTAGAATACCCAAGGTTAATACATTATTGTTTCAATTTTATTTTGCACTAATTGGCTTAATTTTGATTGATTTAATTAGATTTTCCTTCCTTGTGTCCATACATTTTTCTGTGCTGAAATAGTCTCCTGTACGATGAAAACATATCAAGGAAATAATAGTTTAAGAACACAAAATTGTAAGGTGGCATATGATTGTTGTTGCTATTATGTGCCGTGGAATCACCTGCACCTCATAGTGACCCTATGTAGAGCAGCCCTAAACCCTGCTCTTTCCTGGGCTAACCTTACTGTCTCTGACACACCTGCCCCCATTACCCCAGTCACAGAATCAATCCATCTCATAGAGGGCCTTCCTCTCCTGTGCCTTCCCTCCACCCTCCCAAGCATGATGTCCCTCTCCAAGGACTGGCCCCTCCTTGCAACATGCGTATGCATATGATGGTGGTGTTTGTGTGCCGTCGAGTCTCCTGTGGCCCTTAGTGACCCTGTGTACAGCAGCTCGGAACCCTGCCCTACTTTCCCTAAACAGCAAAGAGAGTATATGCATTGAATACTCTTTTCTTGCTCTCCTCTCCTGTGTGCAGTTTTTTGACCGCATTAAGTTGTTCGGCATGCCTGCTAAACATCAGCCCGACCTGATCTATCTGCGCTACGTACCTCTCTGGAAGGTCCACATTTTCACAGTCATTCAGCTCACCTGTCTGGTTCTACTCTGGGTGATTAAAGCCTCGTCCGCGGCCGTCGTTTTTCCCATGATGGTGAGTGGTTGTGTTTGTTCCCTGAGATGTTATTAAGCGATGTTACTTTGTGTGTTTTGAGATTCATTTTAAAAATTGACTTCGAAATCAGATTTAAGCCATTTTTAAGCACCTGAGAAACTTAGCAAACTTAGCAACTTGAAACCACTTCTCGAGCAATAAGCCAGAAGTTTTCCCACCTGAAATTTCTACATGTTTTTTAGAGTCCTTGATTTCAGCAAATCTCTTCTGCATTTTTAAACCGCTCAGGGTGTGGGAAGCCAAGGGAACAAATATGGTAGTCAAATGTAAGTAGCAAGCAATGTGAACAGTGTGATTCTTTGGACGGTGCTCGGCGTAAGAAAAGTTAAGCCTGTGCATGATTTAACGAGACAATCTGTGTATATGATTAGTTATGTAGTCATTGAATATTGCATATCACAAATAGAGAAGATTCATTCTTTTCTAAACTCTATGTAGGTGCCACAGAGGAACATAAAAATCAATGCCTGTTATTCAGGTCATAATCACAAATAAATGAAGAATTCACTCATGTAATTTTTAAGTATTTAGGAATTAAACACTGGTCTAAATAACTTCTTAATGGAAAACCGCTTTAAAAACTATTGGAAAGGCTGCTGTTGGTATATGCATCAAGTTGCTTGGGACTCATAGTGGCCCTCTATGTACAACAGCTCTGAACCCTGCTCTGTCCTGTGCCAACTTTATTGTCTCTGACACACCTATCCCCATTACCAAGTCACTGAGTCAGTCCATCTCGTCCAGGGTCTTCCTCTTTTGGGCTGTACCTCCACCTTCCCAAGTATGATTGGTCCATCCTTGCAACATGCCCATAGTATGTCAGACGAAGCTTCAGGATCCTTGCCTTCAAGGAGCAGCCCGATCTCATCCTCTCTAGAAAGAACCTGTCTGTTCTCCTAGCAGCCCAGGGAATATTTAGTACTCTCCAGCACCACAGCTCAAAGGCATCAATTCTCCTGTCATCTAGAGAAAGAAAAATTTGCAATAAAGTCTAGGACTTGCAACTGAATTTATATCCATGGAAAAGCTACAACTTCTAGGTTTTTATTTATGATTTTAAATTAAAAGCAACTGTAAGGTTTACATGTCCAGAGTAGTGATTAATTAACTCATCCTAAGCCTGAGTAGAGGAGAAAAGGAGAGAAAAAGATACAGAAGCATTAAGACCTGGGCTTAACTCACTGCGGGTCAAGTGAGTTCCTACTCTGAGGGACCCACCACTGCCTTTCCTGGGCTGTCAGCTGCAGTGGAGGAGAATGTCTGCCTTTATGCCATGGAGCTGGTAGTGGATTTGAACAGCCAGAGAGGTTCCAGCTTTGAGTTAACAGTGCATCTCCTGGTGGAGACGCCAACAGAACTCCCCAAGTCAGACAAGAGTTCCTGTGTGCAGTGACACAGGCCAGAGCTGGGACTGCTTGAGACAGAGATGATTTTCCACGACTTGCGTATTCTTCACCTTTGCAGTCTTATCACTTTCCTATCACTTCTTATTTTATAAAACACCTCAGAATCATTGCTGTAGAATCCAGCACATAGTGACCCGCCATCAGTTTCAATGGTGGCACATCTTCATGAAAAGAGACTCTTCCTCTCTCTCGCATCTCGTGTCTAGTGGATTCAAACTCCCAGCCTCACAGTTTACAGCCTGACCTGTTACCCACTGTGCTACCAGGACTCATCACTGTTGTAATCAAAAACATTTATGCTTTCCTCTTGGAAAGAGTCCTGTCTGATACAGGTTCTGACTTCTGCAGTTTTTACCGTGCTTTTGAATATTTAGCATTCCTTCATGTAAAATCTGTGTGTGTACTTTCACATACTGGGCAAGGGAAAAGACTCTGCATTCTCATTTTCAGGAAGCTTGAAGTTTATAATTACTTCTTTGTCTCTATTCCTTCTCACCTTGAACACATTGTAATGACTAGCAAGGGAATTTTTTTTCTTTACACATGGAACATGTCAGAAGTCACTGAGTCGAGTAAGATTCATAGTGACCCTCTGAATAACAAAACAGAATATAATGTATGTAATGTCAAAATTGTCAAAGCAGTTAATTTTTATTTAATCTGTGATGACATTTGTAAGGCTTTCCTTGCTTTATAATTATTTACAAAATCTATTTGGAACGTCGAGGACTTTACTTCATAGGGTTGCTATGAGTCACCTGCGATTCGACAGCACTTAACAACAACAACAACATCATTTGGGTTCTTTTTAAGGAAAAAGTTAATAATACTCATTTCCTTTTTTTCCTCCTCTTTTTTAACTTTTCTTAGAGAAGAAAGCTCAAGAAGCTAAGTAGGTGACCTAGTAAATTTGACTTAACTCTATGTGAAAAAGTGTGTCTGTGTACCGTCAAATCAAATCAGACTGGTACAGGAGGAGATTGTCCCTCCTTTTCCGGCAGAGCATCTGGTGGATTCGAACCATGCACCTCTGGGATTGCAGTGCAGCTTCTTGCCACTAACTCTGAAGATTGCACTGGAGCGTAGAGAAGCCAAAGCACAAGGAAGAATTCAAGATACTAAAGAGCTGAACAGAAGATTCCAAAAG